TAAGCTGCGGTCACACTCGTGTTTTTACCCAAAGTAAATTCACCGTAGCGTTTATTTTTCAAAGAACTCTTCAAGTTGTCTCTACAGCGACAACAATTGTTGTGTCAAAAGTGGGACGATACGTTGCGTCTGAAAATCAACGGTACGGCCGTTCTTTTATTTTCTTATTAATGTTCAGAACTATAAAATATATATCAAAGCTATATTTCAATAACAAAACACGACCAACAATGTTATCGTAACTAAAAATAAGAATACACCACGAAGGGAGTTTCACTTGACTCCTGAGTACTTGCGTTACTTTTGCAAACATCGCCTGCCTCTACACTCAATCGCACAGCGAACACCAAATTTCCGTCATGAATACAATTAGTCTTCCTTTGGGCAGAGAGTCTCAAATTGCTCTCATTGAAAATATGAGGACTATCCGGTAAGATCAAGTATTGAAAAGGCATTGCTACCAGCTGGTGTGCGACTACCTCGAAGCAGACTTTGAAGAGTTACATGAGCTAAATGCAGGTAAATATTACTATAATCTTTTAATTATCTAACATTAAGCATTTGCAAACGTATTTCTTCAATGGCTGTTTACTTTGTTTTCTTGAATTTATATTATTCGAGCTACTGAGTCAGGTGAGCTGCTTGTGTAGGTTGGGGATATTTTTCCTCGGTGTGTTTTGCATATATAAATATTCCAAGGCATCACATATAACTGGCAGGCTAAAGATTTAAAAAACTTAATTTGTACATGGTTAGGTTGGAAGTTACAATAAGAAATTAATTTGTACATAGGTTAGGTTAGGTTAGGTTAAAAGTTACTTTAAAAAATAATTTGTACATGATATGATTTGGTTATAATTTACTTTAAAAATCCATTTGTACATGGTATGATTAGGTTAGAAGTTACTTAAAACAAATATTATTTTTTTATGTACGTATTTCAAGCTTAAGAACTCATTGACGCTGCATCTGTATGGTTTTCCTCTAGCCATTGGAATAACACATTTTTTTTCTTTTTATTGCAGAAGTCACCTGACACTTTAGATCCTCTGATCCTTGATTGCACTGATACACACCTGACAGAGTGATAGTGATGTCACTCAATTGCACGCCAAGTTGTTCTAAATCTGTCTCATCCTCATCAGCAATCACGCCAACAGATTGTGAGAGTTTGATCATACCTTTTCAGCGTCAGTCGGTGATTTCAACCCCAAAGCCAACAAAATGCAAGAAGACAAGGAATCTAGACGAATTGATGGCCGAAAAATGTCACGAATACAGAGAATTGCTGAGGCAGAACACAACAGGAGGGCAGAACCCACCCAAGGCCAGAAGTTGGGTTATTGGTCGACGAAGTAGCAAAAATTGGTGCCCCCAGAGCGCAAGACCACAATGCTCATTGATCAGTGCTTTCTAAATATCTGGAATCGGGCAGTCCAGAACAAGTATGATGGCCCATCAGTTATTCCAGGCTGTATATCTCTACTTTTTGTATTTTGAGTGTTACAATATAATGAAGGAAAATTGTGTTTGTTTTTAATTATCCAAGGAGAGACCTATTGCATAACCATCAATTATTTCAAATTCAGTTTCTTATGAGAAGCAAAAGAAATCTGCATTCCTATCTCAAAATATGGAAAAACAATCCTTCTACTGACAGAACTATTTTATTTACAAAAAAATACAAAGTAAGTTTCAAAATTATACAATGACAAAAACTTTCAAGACGAGGGAAGATAACGTGCAATTCTCTAAGTGCAAGAAAGACATAGCTTCTTGCCATGGTATTTGACACCCAGTCATGAAATAGGCTTTAAAAGCATCCCTGACTTTCTTTGGATCATTTGAATGTCCTCTGCCAATGCCTGGGATATCCTGTAGGCCGTCATGTGGTAATTCACCCCACTTTCCAGGTGTGAAAGTGGTTCTCTGTCTTCCCTATCTCCCATTTCTTGAGACATTAAACCTCCATCCCCAAGTAGTTATACATGACAACACTACAAATACTGATGTCTTCAATGTCTTGGGGGGATGTGCAGATAGGCTGTCTGAATATCCTAAATTTGGCTGACAGTATGCCGAAAGCATTTTCAGACACACGACGTGCATGAGACAGCCTAAAGTTGAAGTTTCTTTTATCCGCAGTCTTATCTTTTCCCGGATAAGGCTTCATCATGAAGGTTTTTACTGGGAAGGCATCATCACCAACTATTACCTATGGGCACTCAGTTGAGGAGAAGGGAGAAGGAGTAGGGACATTCAACAACTTTTACTCCAAACCTTCCTTCAGAGAACCCCAATGCCATATGCTTATGCCAGCATCACTTGCTCGACCACATGATCCTACACGGTTATATAAGCATCTGTAGTGGGCGTCAACCGAGGCCAACATGACTATACAATACTATTTTGTGCTTTATAATCAAAGTACTCTGAGTCTGACTTTTGGGGTTTGGATATTAAAACACTCTTTCCATCTATAGCCCCAATGCACATGGGGAACGTAGATATTCCCCTGAAATGACAAAATACAATTATAAAGAGCTGATTACACCACATTGGTAGGTGACTTTATGACATATGGAGAAAAAATAATAGATCTACAGAGTATTTATCAAGGAACAGAAGTAAAAAAAACTGTTCTTGTAAATTTAGTAGCTACATACATAAATATGAGCAATGGTGTCATTTAAGCAAATTGAAAATGCTCTTTCTTTATATCTGTGTACTGGTAATTTCCCTTCTACAATTGTATAAAATGTAATGAACACTATTTCCATATTAATATAGATTAAAGACAGCAAATTGACTTTTTTAGCCTATATAAAACTATAAAAGTCTTTACTAATATACTAACAAATTCCTTTAGTTGCCGCCAGTACATCGGGGTCCAATATAACTAGATATGCAATTAATATAATTAGAAAAATAAAGATAATTATTTACTTCGCAGCAGCTGATTTTTCATCGAAAACGAATTTAAAAGCGCTGCAATTACACCGTTTCATAGTGGACGCTGCCGTAGTTATGGCAAATGTGTTTAACAGTGATTATTTAAAAGTTCAAATTAACCTAACCTAACCCAACCTAACCTAATCTAACCTAGCATAACTTAACACCCGTTGTGGGCGAACTTACTGTTACGAAGACTGGGGGGCATAGGAAGCGGCTGTGAAGTACTCCATATTATCCACGTCCAGTATTCTGATATTGGTTAACTCCTATGCTAATATACTAGGTAAACTCATATAGTACTAACTCATCGAAGTCCTTAAACTGCTAGGGGAATGGGCACGGGGGTGGAAGAGACTGCAGTGGGAGTGGGTAAACAAAGTGAAAGGTTACATATAAAAAGTGATAGGAATGATGTCAAAACTAAAGTAGGCAGTTAGCTAGAACCAAAATGCGTTAAAGAGAGGACTCAGATCACGACTAACTTAAGTGCCTAGTACGCAAACAGTAGGAGTTTGAGAAACGAAATGGATGAAATCAAGGCGTATGTATGTAACGAAAAAATCGATATAATAGCATTCACCGAAACATGGATAAAACTTGGACTCAAGTGAGTTACCTGTCGAATACCAAATTGTAGGCTACAAATTATTCCATACTGATAGGCAGTTTGGAAAGGAGGAGGAGTAACATTCTATGCCAGGGATAATCTGAAGAGTGAAATAAATAAGGAAATAAAAACTGAACTGAATATAGAAACAATTTGGATAGAAATAACCGATAGTAGGGAAAATTAATCACAGGGGTAATATATAGAACTCCTGATCTTGATGGAGTTAATGAGCGACTTATTTGGGATGAAATGCGCAGGGCTTCCAGAAACAACATAGTTTGTAGAGTAGGCGACTTTAACTTCAGCCAAATTGATTGGATCGACCTTACGGGTAACTCAGAATCAAAGGATTTTCTTGAAACAATCCAGGACTGTTTCCTAAGTCAACATATAACCAAACCCACCCGGGTTAATAATATACTCGATTTAGTTCTGTCTAACAGAGAAAACCTCATTAGCAATATCGAGGTAGGGAACGAACTTGCTAACAGCGATCACAAAGAAATTAGATTCCAAATTAGAATTTAAAGGGAAGTCGCAGGGAAAATTTCATTAACGTCCCAGATTTCAGAAGGGCAAACTTTGATAGTTTGAAAAGACAACTGAGAGAAGGGGTATTACGTTTGGGGGAGCATTACATAACCTCACGTGAGGTGACCTCACTTCACCTGGAGACCTAACAATGATAACCTCACAAAATATGAAGGTTGAACATAAGAACATAAGAATGGAGGAAACTGCAGCGGGCCTTTTGGCCCATACTGGGCAGTCCCGTTTACACCCAACCCCTATTGCTCATATAAGCATCCAACCTATGTTTGAAGCTATTCAGCGTATTCGAGTTAATGATGATATTTGGTAACTTGTTCCATTCATCCACTACTCTGTTTCCAAACCAGTGTTTACCGATTTCACGCCTAAATCTAAATTTATCTAATTTAAAACCATTGTTAAGAGTTCGCTCCTAGTTGGATAGTTTGAGTACCTTTGTAATGTCCCCTTTGTTTAGCCCTGCCTTCCACTTATACACCTGTATCAGGTCGCCCCTCGCTCTACGTCTCTCGAGGGAGTGCAAATTAAGATGCTTTAGCCTGTCTCTATCCCTTTAGTGACCGTAGCCTTATAAAGTTTAGGTATAGAGCCACAACTTTCGGAAGTATTTCGTATGAATCCACTGAATGAAAATAAAACTCTCTTTTTTCCCTTTCTGGTTTATTTTTGTATTTTGAGTATGTTCCCAAAATGGGAACGTTGGACACTTCCGGAGTACATTCATGATATTATCATATATATATATATATATATATATATATATATATATATATATATATATATATATATATATATATATATATATATATATATATATATATATATATAATCAGTATTATCAAAATAAGCAATTACACTCAAATTCTGAAAAGTAGTTTGACAATCATTTCTTATGGAAGTTGATACTGCACGCCTTGTGAAGTGTTTTCTCGCACTTGATGCACTTCAGACGTGTGTTTTTCTTGCATACATAGCATCTACCTTTTGAAAACTCCTGAAGAAAGTGGTTTACATTATCATATCTTATTGCTTTTGGTACAGAGGATGTTGGACCACCTTCTCGTTTTCTTGGTGTTTCGATTCTTGCAAGTGTGCGAGCTATTTCACGCCTGAAATCCTTATGGCTGATCTGAGAGCCAGGATTTACATGCTGGTAGAATCTGAAACTAGCTACAATGGAGAGGTTCAGTAGATGAGACCAAATATTCCACCACCATTTCTTGGAGCGTAGTCTTGGCCTGTAGGTTGACAGCATCTGGTCACAAACATCTACACCACCCATTCCTTTGTTATACATTTTTATCATATGTGGCTGGTTTATTGCCTTCCTTCCTTCATTTTTTACCCATCTGTTTACTTTTTGCATAGGACTGACTCCATAGTAGTTGCTAGCTACTGTAACAATGCTGTTATCATTCCATCTAGAACATAGGACGGAATCATCCGATCTGTAGTCGTATGAACCTCTTTCTTTTTTTTCAAGTTCTTTCTTTGATAGAAGAGGGCACTTTCCTGTGCGGTTATCTCTGATTGTTCCACAGGCTCTAAACCCATTGCTTGTAAGGTCAATCATCAATGCGTGACTAGTGAAAAAGTTGTCGAAAAATACAACATGTTCATCTTTATTCACCACTGGCTGTAGCATGTCCATGACAACTTGATAGCCTAAAAGCTCCTTCTTGCTTTTATCTTTTCCACAATAAATAGAAAAGTTATAAGGATAACCGTCAGCACTGCACATCATCCACATCTTGTAACCAAACCTAACAGGTTTGTTTCTGATGAACTGTTTGGCGCTGTGGTGTCCGCGGTACGGGATCATTGATTCGTCAATGCTGAGAAATTCATGAAAAATTCCATGTTTTTGACAATTATTTCTCAGCATGTGAAGGAGGGGCAGAATCTTGGCCACCTTTGAATTTTCCAAATTGTTATTATCAGCCACATGAAAGAACCTCTTGATGGATTTGAACCTTTCTCTGCACATAGTGTTGGCGAATATTGGTATTTCCAAGTCTTCGCTTGATGACCAGTAGTCATTTTCAGAGGGAACACTGTGATATCCACTGATCAAGAGAAGTCCCAAAAACTTCATCATGTCATTCTCATCAACACAGAAGTCTTTGTTGTTTTTGTCTCGATGAGCATACAAATTTGTTTGTTCTGTTAGGTGACTTATGATTTCATCTGTGAAGAAAAGTTTGAAAATTTCAAACATTTCCTTTCCTAAATGCACATCAGCAACACTTGGAGGAATTGAGTGACGACCAAACGAGACATTTTCCTTTTTACGTTGATGAGTAAATAAGGGTAGGCAGACTACGGATGTGTCCAGCGTTCCCATTTTGGGAACATCATACAAAAACACTTATAGCGACATAATTATAATATAAATCACATTTATTGAAATGTATAAGATAAGAAGGAGTACTTAGACAGCACACCATGTAAATAAATAACTCAGGAGAATTTTTTTTATTGAGAGAAAATGTTTATTTCGAGTAGTCATTTTTACATCAAATTCCTTCAGAACATACCACAAAAAGTAACATGGGTATTACAGAGTATTGGAATCTTTTTATGCAGAATAGTAATTTAGATGTATAACAATATATCTGCTATGAAATAAATTAGAATATTATGTTAATAATCACGGGAGAATATTTGAAAGTTATGTTCCCAAAATGGGAACGTTAGACACTAAAGGGCTATACTCAAGGTTCCTAATGCCCGGGATTAGTCTTGTCATTCTCCTCTGAATTCTTTCCAAGGATTCTATATCCATTCTGTAAAACGGTGACCAGAACTGAACTGCGTAGTCCAGGTGTGGTCTCACAAGAGCAAGATACAGTTTTAGGATGACCTCGCTAGTCTTGTAACTAACACTCCTTTGTATGAACCCAAGTACTTTATTAGCCTTGTTACGAGCAAAAACACATTGTTTACTTGGTTTAAGGTTCCTACTTATCATTACTCCTAAATCTCTCTCGCAGTGGGATTTCTCTATGGCATCGTTGTTCATCTGGTAACTGGTTTCCCTGTTTACATCTCCTATACTGAGTACTTTACATTTGTCGACGTTGAATTTCATCTGCCATTTTTCAGACCATTTGAAAAATTTGTTTAGATCTACCTGTAGTTTTGCCGAGTCCTCGTCAGATTTAATAACACATCCTATTTTAGTGTCATCAGCAAATTTACTTATGTTGCTGTCTATGCCGATAGCTATGTCGTTTATGTATATAATAAATAATAATGGTCCAAGTACTGAGCCTTGGGGAACACCACTTGTGACGTTGCTCCAATGGGACTTAGTGCCGTTAATGCTCACTGGCTGTTTCCTGTCCTGTAACCACGCCCTAATCCATTTAAGGATGTCACCTTTGATGCCATGAGCTTCTACCTTTCTAATTAGTCTTTCGTGGGGGACTCTGTCGAAGGCTTTGCTAAAGTCGAGATATACCACATCATAATTGTGCCCCTCGTCCACCGATTCGAAAACTGATGAAAAGAATGTTAATAGATTAGTTAGGCAAGAACGTCCGCTTGTGAAGCCATGCTGGGAATCATTGATCAATCTGTGCTTCTCCAGGTGATTTCGAATAGAGTTTGAGATGATTGCTTCCGGTAATTTGCCTACTATTGATGTTAGACTGATTGGGCGGTAGTTAGAGGATAGTGATCTATCCCCCTTCTTGAAAATCGGTATGACCTGATCACGAGATCTGATGTTGACGAGTTCCACAACAATTTAAATAATGAGTTACTGAATGCACAAAGGCAGAACATACAATACAGAAAACTCAGATCAAATGGATAAATAATTATTTAAAGTATATTTTTGAACAAAGGAAGGCTATAGGGTTAGTGGCCAATAGGGTTAAGACCCAGATAAGAAAAGCAAAAAGGAATATTGAACTGAAAGTAGCAAGGGAGGCGAAGTCAAACCCCCAAGGGATTCTTTCAAATGTACCAAACTAAAACACGAGAAAAGATTGGACCAACACAGTCAGATACCGATGAGCTAACTGATAACGACAAAGAAATGAGCAATAATCTGAATATATATTTTTGAACAGTATTCACCAACGAAAATTTAAACATGATACCCGAGACACCGACTAAATATAGATGTAGTGAAGAAAATAGATTAAGCGATATAGAAGTGACTAGTAACGATATTAGTGAGCAAATAGACAAACTAAAGCCTAATAATTCACGAGGTCCCGATGAGATATTGGCCAGAGTATGAATGGAATGTAAGGAAGAGCTTAGTATGCCCATAGCAAAGTTGTTTAACATGTCCTTAAAAGCGGGTGCAGTACCAGAATCCTGGAGGATAGCGAATGTAATATCGTGAGATTATATATATCAACACGAAACAAACAAAAATGGCGCTGGAGAGCACGTATCCTCCTAACCGGCACAGGTTCTTGAGAATGGACCCGGGAGGAACAGCACAGAGGCTAGGGCTGATAGCGTCCTATCTGGCGTGCTGACATATAGGGCTAGGAGTGCTGCCGCTCACACCACCGTGACCATGAATAAAAAGAGCTGCAGCAATTCAGTACTTTTAGAATATTGTTCTATTAATTTGGTAGTAACGGTCAACATGTCATTACATTTACAAGATTTATACACACTAGGGTCTTCTTACATAATAATTAATAAACATATTACACAAGGCACTCTTAAGACACAAATAACACCATAAACCACAAACGATAATAAATATGGAATACTTACAGATAGCAAGTGACCAACTGGGTCAGAAGAAGGGAGCCAAGTGACCAGCCATATGATCACACCCCGCACTATGACTCGGTTCGAGCTACCCATGAGCAACACCTGCTTCATATGCAGAGAACAAACCCAACACTGAACAACACTGTACCAACAATCATTGAACTTGAATATATACCCCTTACACTGTACTGTACTAAATTGTAGTTAACATTTTTATCTTTTATCCCAAAACAATCGCATATCCATAATCGTTTCTTTTTCGTCTTGGGCTTTTCCAACAGGACCACACATCTTACTAACGCAGTCAGTGCTGCCATAGAAACATATAAATCCATCCTGCTCTCCATCTGAGCTCAAATTAGTCGCGCGAGCTGTGCGCCTTTCGCGTGTGGATTGTGCCGTTGACTTATTGCAAGTGGATGAAATGCCATCGTGGATTAATTGGACAGAAAACTCGAGTGTGACCATAACTTTATGGTCCGCAGACATATGTTGTCTCGCATTAGTTTAGGATATCGACCTACCTGGCAAGTATCTGAGGCGGGGGATGTCCTGCCCTTCTCTTCTTGTAAACTCTGTAACTGTCCCAACTCTAACACCCTTCAACACTATTGCCTTAACTGTTCCACTGTCAGGGACCTCCTACCACAGGAAGAGTCACTAAACACTATGTGTCACCACCTACTTATACATAATAATTTAGATATAATTCTTGTATGCTACCCACACTGGTGGATGCTAAATCCCATTGTCCTTAGGCCTGAACCAATAAGAGAACGTGTGAGACGGGACGTCATGAATATGTGACGCCCTTTGGGGGCGACGCAGTTTGAAAAAGACAGTGTCTGGCTAGAGGTAGTGAAGGGTAGGCGGGTCGTGCTGTTGGTTCCCCCCAACATGGCAGGATATATCTCCATTGAGTAGGCTTAAGGTTTTATCCGTTCCACGAAATGTATTGTGATTCATGTGACCCCTGGTTAGCTAGCTAGGAAGATAGATTATTGTTTTGAAAGTGTAACTGTTCATTTTGAGTAACGCCGTTAATAAATGGAGAACCGTTATGACTAGTTCTCAATTCCCTTGTGTATGGAGTAGAGAATTATCCTTTCTAAGTGTCTTTAGTGGCATGCAGTAATACCGTGAGCCATAAGAAATAACATAACACTATCACCTCAGTTATCCATATCCTCAGTCTCCCCTTGGTGTGTGAGGGTCTACATTCCATAACACCCCTCAGCATAACCGCAAAGCATAAACAAACTGTACTTCCCCTCTCTTTCTCCTCCACCCATGACCTTCCCCCATCTCAAAAGTATACAATACCAAGTTGACATGCAGAGAGTAACAAACAAAGAAGGAAAAATTAGGAATAAAAGAAAAGAGAATTAGAGAGGAAAGAAGGAGTAAAAGTAAGTAAATAATGAGAAAAGACGAACAGCAAATAAATAAAAAATAAAAGAGTTAAGAAGTAATAAAGGAATAAAATAAAAAATAAAAAAATAGGAATAATAAAACCAAATTAATTGTTACATTGTATGAGCCCATTAATTTTTATATAAATGTGGGGCAGCACATTAATTTTATATAAGTCCATCACCCACGGTAACGTTCCATGAGCAATGAGATGTCATTCAGTGCTCATGTGGCCCATTCACTGAACACGTGATCGGTAACTTTCCACTGGAGGGCGCGTCTGTAAGGAAGCTGTTTAAACTGTTACGACCATTTGGCCTCCTAGATTGTAACAAATCACAAATTCAGCTTCTCTTTGTATTATAGGTCCAAGGAATAGATCCCACCAAAATCATCATCTCATTACTATGGGGTATATTGAAATACATGCAGTAGATTTAATTACAGAATATATTAACAAACAAACAATAAAACAAATATATCAGTTATGTACAAAAATAAACAAATACAAACTAAATCTGATCAAATATGTGACTCAACCGAGTGACAAAATAATGAACATAAAAGTAAACTCAACACTTATTTAGTTTAGCAAATACCATGAACAACGTGGTCACCCACCACACGAATCCTCATATATAAGTAAGTTATTTTCCATGGAATTCTAAAATATGACTAACAATAATCTTTCACAAATAATACTTGGTGTTATAAAAGTCGAGCAAGGTTCACATATTATATCACTGGAAATATACTATACAATAAGAAAGGAGATACAGCTCTGTACTTAACTCATCACTGCCAGCCCAATACTAGCGTCACACAGCTTGGGAGGTAAACAAAGCAAGCAGAAATGACGTCACAAACAAAAGACGTTCATGTTGTGAATCCACAACCAACCATTGAACTCTCACTGGCAACAAAACTTTCCTCAGAGCTTCTTCTCCCTCAGTAGTTATTTAAATCTTACGAGAGAAGGACGTCAAACTAAGCTTCACAGATAAGCTCCGTACCTTCCCCTTCACAGACAAGCTTGCCGTCTATGCTTCTATAGCTCAATGGATATAGTTACGGTGATAATCCTTTTTTTGAAAGTACACATAGAAACCCTTTTTAATTAGTGGAGAATGTTCTAGTCGTAATGTATATGGGACTAAACATTTATATTATATTGGGTAAGAGTAG